GGTTTGTGAATTTTTACCTAGCAATTATAATAAACCTACTACTAGCAAATTGCTAGTTTGCTAGCGTGAATTTCGAGCCCTCTCTTAAAGCATACCAGTATATTAATTAATCAATAAAATAATTTAGATTGTAGATTTTTTTGTATTTTTAGATGTGTACGTCCGTCACAATTCAAACAAGTACGTCCGTCACGATAAAATTGTACGTCCGTCACAGTAATTTTACGGTGTTTTCATAGAGAAAATGAAAAAAAATTAAATTCAATTTTTATTCTGCTAGAAAGCCCACACATTAGTGGAAAACAACAGGGAAATATTTTTTTTTAAATGTCACACACATCAGAGTTTTTAAAAAAAGTATAGTGACGTAGGAAAAGTCACTTTCTCTGATTACGTCCGTCACGGGGTCATTTTGACCCATATCTCCGTAACGCATACGAGTTAAAAAATAAAAATTGTAGGCTTGATACTGTACTAACCAGTAGATGTAATGTAATGTAAACTTTTAAAAAAATAAATTGCAAGCTTCATTATGAAAATATAGATTCACAAAGTGTCTGAAATGTACGTCCGAATTTATGGAATTGCCCATAAATTATTCAATTTTAAAAAAAGATAAACAGTTAGGCTGCTATTTAGTTGATCGCGAGAATCCACCTTGCTACAATCAAATAGGCTAGCTGGTAAGGGATAATGCCCATATGGCGCGCCATACAAATTCCGCGAGGCCGAAGTTGTCGGCGGCCGAAGAAGTCTTATTCCCCCTAAATAGAGGGCCACCTCAGACCTTCCAGCCTCTTTCACCACTCATTTAGAGTGGTGTAGGCCTACAGTGAGTTTAGCCTAGGTCTAGCCTAGGCTAGGCCTTAGCCCCAGATTTTTTGCACTCACCACTGCAAGGTAAAGGAACACCAGTAACTACCGCGCGTGGTTAGTACAAACTTTCTCCGACTACTAGGCCAAGCCTAGGTTACTGTACTTACTTGTTTTTGTAGGAGGTCAACCTAGGCTTATCCTGGATTCCAGCAGGACCGAATGGCTGAGGCTATCGGCACTGCCGCAGTGCGAAAAAAAGCTGCTGTTTTCTATCGGCACTGCCGCAGTGCCAAAAAGCTGCTGTTTTCTATCGGCACTGCTGCCGCAGTGCCAAAAAGCTGCTGTTTTCTATCGGCACTGCCACAGTACGAAAAAAGCTGTTATTTTCTATCTGCATTATTGCAGCAGTGCGAAAAAAGCTCCGATTTTCTATCGGCACTGCCGCAGTGCCAAAACACTGCAGTTTTCTATTGGCACTGCCACTCGAAAAGCTGCTGTTTAATTATCAAATAGATGTTTTTATCTATAGATGGTATCAACCCAGGTAACAAGCCCATAAGGGACCCATATGGTGCCCATATGCAGATCCATATGTGCAATCCTTGAGGAAACCTCCGGATTCTGCACCCAAGTTCCATGTGTGGTATAACCATAGGCTATGTTCAGACACAACGACTTACGCTAGCGTAACGTTAATCGAGTGGTGTGAACTTGTGCGCGGCGTAGCGAACGCCAGTATTATCGCGCAATCACTGGCGTACGGTAATCCAGCAACAGACCCCAGATTAGCGTACGCCACTGATTTACGACAGTCACGCATCGGTGATTTTGAACTCAGCCAAGATTTGACCAATCAAAATAAACCTAGATGTAAACAGAAAATAAAATGCGCGAGTTACGAATACGAATATTTCGCGCGAATACTTACGCTAGCGTTCATTAATCGCCCAGTCTGGACATCTCGCTAGTTACGCCATGGATTAACGTACGCCTGGCGTTAGATACGCCTGGCGTATCTCACAGGTCTGAACGTAGCCAAAGAGATATAATAAGAATACTAGAGCGCTAACAGCAATGTATTCGATGTTCGAAATACGCAGAGCTGTGTGTGTGTACCATCCAAGATGGCTACCATAGATTCAGCCAATCAAATTTCGCCCATAGAGGTATAATAAGAATACTAGAGCGCTAACCGCAATGTATTCGATGTTCGAAATACGCAGAACTGTGTGCGTGTACCATCCAAGATGGCTACCATAGATTTAGCCAATCAAATTTCGCTAAGC